TCTGACGCCACGCGGATGGCAGACGGGGTCTCGTGGGAGGCGTCTCGGGGGCGTTTTGCTTAGGAGTGCTCCTGGTTGCCCCTTGGAAGCTTTTCTCGGGCCTCTCGGAGCTGCCTGGGAGCCTGTTGGGGGCTTCTTGTGCCGGGGGGCGGTTTGGGGTCGAAGACTCGAGATGTTCGTTCGGGTTCCCCCACTGGGTCCCCTCTCGGGGCTGTCCTGGAGCCCTCATGGACCGTCTTGGGGGCTTCTTGAGCGGCCTTGGGGCCCTCTTGGGTCGTCTGGGAGCGCTCTTTAGGGCCTCTTGGGCCATCTTGGGGCGATCCAGGAGGCTTCTTGGGCTGTCTTGGACGTTGTCAACATACAAGAGGCGAATGTGCAACAAAATGCAGGTTTTCCAATGGGAATGGGGCGATTTTTGCTGTTTGAGGCCGTCTTGGGACGCCGTCTTGGGGGCCTCTTGGGCCGTCTGGAGGGCAGCGTGGGCTTTTTGGATCGATCTTTCGGCGGCTTGTGGCTCCATTGGACCGTCCGGAGGGCCTCTTGGTACCCTTTTGGCTTGCTTTGGAGCCCTCTGTTCTCCCGCGATGCGTTCGGGCGGTCCCCGGGGGACCCCCTCCTCCAAACCGACCAGACCAGGCTCCCAGGGGAGGGGTTCGGGGGGGGAACATCTCACACGCCGATGAACTCCAAGGGGTCGGCGGCTTCGGCGAAGCGATGACAGGCTTCAAGGGTGACTCGGGCACATCTTGAGGAGAGGAGGAGGAGGAGAAGGAGGAGGGCGAGGGGGCGGAGAAGGAGGAGGGAGGGGGGGCGGGGCGAGGTTTAACCCAAAGCGGTTGGCGTGATATGCTGGAAAATGAGAAGAGAGGCGCGAGGAAAGATGTAGGAGGGAGACGGAGGAGGCGGATGATGATGAGAATGAGGAGGATCGGGATGAGGAGGATGAGGAGGATGAGGATGATGGGGATGATGAGGGCCTATATTTCTATTTTCCTCTTCCTATCTTCTCATTCCTCCTCCTCCTCCTCCTGACTCCTCCTGACAGCGCCTCGGTTGAAATCCCCCATCCTGCTCCTCTTTATCCTCTTATCTCTTCATCCTCTTCTTCCTCATCCTCCTTCCCCCCTCGTCCTGACAACACCTTGCTTGAAACCTCCTCCCCCGCGTCCTCCTCTTAGTCGACATCTTCCTCCTCCGCTTACCCCCGCCTTCCTCCTCTTTCCTTCCGTCCTCCTCCTCCTCCGTCCCCCCTCCCCCTCCCCTTCTTCTTCCTCCTCCTCCTCTTCCTCCTCCCCCTCCTCCTCCTCCTCCTCCTCCTCCTCCTCCTCCTCCTCCTCCTCCTCCTCCTCCTCCTCCTCCTCCTCCTCCTCCTCTCCCCCCTTCCGTTCTCGCCCCCCCTCCCTGTGGCCCGAGGACGCCTCCCCGGGCGCGGACCCGTCCACGCAGTCGCCGGTGCACTCCGTGGCGAGCGGCTTCGCCTGCCCGGAGGACGTGGCCTTGGGCGTCGCGGCGTGGTTCGAAGCCTCCTCGATGGGGTCGGAGCAGATGGGGTCGGAGGATCGCTCCGCATCGCCGATGCATCGGCGACGCGGCTCGATGCGGAGCCGGATTTTCTCCACGCCGGCGCGTCGACGATGCATCGCCGGTGCATCGCCGATGCATCGCCGATGCATCGCCGATGCATCGCCGATGTATCGGCGATGCGGCGCCATCTTCCGACCCCAGCTCCGACCCCATCTAGGAGGCCTCTAGTGGTGTCTTGCAACTCCAGTGAGGAACTTTAGCTTCGAAGACTCACAAGAAGCAGCATCAGCACTCTTCGGTTGGAGGCGCTCACTTGGATCCAGCGCCAAAATCGTAGGTGCCAACTCACAACAAGCTCTTATAATTGACGCCCGTTTTTGCCGGCATGCAGCCAGAGCCAGAGTGATCTTCATCCACTCTTTGCCGAACTTTAGCTTAGCGTGTCGCGCCGCAGGTTCTGGCCCACCACCCGGAGGGGGAAAGGTACTGATACCGCTTTTGGGCCGCCTGGGTGGCTCTCGTCGCCACCGCTGGATTCGCCTCGAAACCCCGGTCAGAACGCGCCCCGTGAGAGGTCGGGGGGGGGCAGCATCAGTACCTGTTGGTTTCCTCAACCACGCTTCGGCGTGACACGCTATCCACGTCTTAGTCCGCAAGCGTCGGCGTCTCTCGTTCCTCCCAGCCTCCTGGCCCCGTCGGAGCGGAGCGGCACGCCATCGGCTCGCAGGGCATAGAGCGTGTCGCCATGGGCCGCCGCCACGACACGCGAAGCAGCAGTTCCTGGCAGGAGCTCCTCCTCCCCCTCCCCCTCCCCCTCCTCCTCTCCTCCTCCTCCTCCTCCTCCTCTCCTCCTCCTCCTCCTCTCCTCCTCCTCCTCCTCCTCCTCCTCCTCTCCTCCCCTCCTCCTCCTCCTCCTCCTCCTCCTCCTCCTCCTCCCTCCTCCTCCTCCTCCTCCTCCTCCCCTCCTTCCTCCCCCTCCCCCTCCTCCTCCTCCTCCTCCTCCTCCTCCTCCTCCTCCTCCTCCTCCTCCTGTACCATCTGTGCGGTGTGTGCGCGTTTCGCGTGAGGCTTCGTCACCTTGTAGGATCCTGGAGCTTGAGCTGTCCAGCAGTTGCACGGATGGAGGGGTGGGTCAAAGTGGGGCTTCAGCCTGAGCGCCGCGCACGTTCGTCTCAAAGGTTGATTACGTTGAAGGCCCAGATGTGTAGACTTGTGCAACAGTTTCGCGGATCGGAGCGGTTCCTTTTCAAAACGGGGCTCTCCCACACCTCTTTGAATTTTTTCGAGGACGCCGGCGGCGCATCACAGGCCGCTCCCTGGGAGCTTGGCGAAGTGGCGCGCAGCGTCGAGAGTCGTGATGCTGCGCGCATGCCAGCTGTCCTTGCAAGGGGTTGCTTGAAGGCTTCTTTGGAGTATCAAAGACGCCTACGGCGAACCACCGCCGCCCCCTGCCTTTTGGAAGCGCCTATGTGGCCGAACGTTGTGGGCAGAGCTCGGCCACCCTGTCGGACCCAGAGTTGTCAAGGGTGTTACCCCAGCTGGGCCAGTGCAGGGCCCAGATCGGGAAAGGAGACGGGGGAGAGGAGGGGGGGCGGCGCTGTGGGGGCGGGCGGGGGCGTCGGTGGGGGGCCAGCAGCGCACATCGACGGCGCTTCATCCTTCCTCAGCTGATCGTTTTGGCACTCGAGGCCATCATGTGAGATCTTTTGCCCGGGCCTCATTATCACGGTCGTTGTCTTCATCGCGGCCGCTTTTACCATGGCTGTTATCATGGCCACCATCGTCGTGTTCATCGCCATCGTCATCATCAGTGTCGTCCTTTGCTTCACAATATCGCCATCGTCATTCACGTTGTCATCGCGGTCGTGTCCTCCCCCCTCTTTCTGCGACCGTGACCCGCTCTTCCCGTGAGGTCGTATGCATGCTCGTTGCCGTGATCACGGAGATGGCGGTAATGGAAGACGATGGCGGTGGCGATGTCGGTGATGGTTGTGCAGATGTCGATGATGGTGGTCAGGATGACAGTGCTCAGGACGACAGTGCTGTTGCTGCTGATGATGGTGGTGATGGCGATGGGGACGACGGCGGGGATGACGATGGCCAATGCGGTGGTGGTGGGAGCGGGGAGGGACTTGTGAAGTGGGAACTTGGAGGGAGGCTTATTGCAACATCGTTGATGCGTCGTGGGCTTGCACCGGATCCTCCTCCTCCTCCTCCTCTTCCTCCTCCTCCTCCTCCTTCTCCTCCTTTTCCTCCTCCTCCTCCTCCTCTTCCTTCTCCTCCTCCTCCTCCTTCTCCTCCTCCTCCGGGAACGGGGAGTGACGGCACAGTTCCTCCGCGCGGCCTGCCGCAGCCGGTGCCGGAGCGGCCGAGGCCGAGGCGCCCCCGCGGCCGCGTCCGGGGGGCGCTCTTAGTCGAGGCCGACCGCGGCCGCGCCACGCGCTGGGTGGCGCCAGGGGGGGGGGTCGCGCTCTGAGAATTCACAAAAATCACAGACACAACTAATCGTCGATCCCCAAGAACATATTGGAAAACATGGGAAGTGGGCGGGAGGACAGGAGCCCAGAAGATATATGGGAAACTATGGGGAATCTTTTTTATTTGTGTGTATGTATTTGTGTGTCCTTGGGCCCCTTGAGGAATGGCAGGCCCAGGTGGGGCTCGTCCTTCCGGGGCGCCGTCGTGAAGCGAGGGGGACCGGCCTCTGTGCGGGGCTCGTGCGGGGGGGGGGAGCTCGGGACGGGAGGGCGTGCTGCACCATCGTCGAGGCACCTCGGGTCTGCGCTGGTCCTCCCTCCTGCGCCTCGCGTCCGCGCCTCGTCTTCCTGCTCAAGTCTCCTCGCTTCCTCGTCTTCCTTCTCCCCGGAACTCCCCTCCTCCTTCGTGGTGCTAGTCCTGATCTTCGTCCCCCTCCTTGTCGTCGCTTGCTCGTTATTTCTTTGCCTCTCTCCCCCCTTGATCTCTCCCTCTATGGGCAGTAACCCCCATTCTTTCCTTCGTTCTAATTTACCCCCTCCTCAGTTTTCTCCTCCTCCTCCAGTCTCCTCCCTTCTGCGCTCTCCTTGCTCCTCCTCCGCCCTCCTGCTCGGAGGGATGTGCGGCCACCGTGCCTTGTGTGCTAGCAAGTTGCAAGGTGAAGGATTCGTTCAAGGGCCCTTCAGTGTTCTCAGTAGATGGGCAGTGCCGTTCCTGATTGCTTGCTGTGGCAGATCCGAACTCCACGAGCTACATCGCATCCTTCTCAGGAGGGGAAAAACACACAGACACAATTAATCGTCCATCCCCAGGAAAGTATGGGAAACTATGGGAAGCGGGGGGGAAGGCGAAAACCCAGAAACATATGACAAAATATGGGGAATCCTTTTATTTGTGTGTATTTATCTGTGTGTCCCAGGGCCCCTTGTCCTTCTCCTTCCTCCCTGCCCTGCGCCTCCTCTCTCCGACGCGCCCTTTCGGTGCCGCGGCGGCCCCCTCCAGAGGACGTGGCTTTTCGCGCCGCGGAGGTGGTCGGCGGCGGAGGCGGGCGAGCGTGGGCGAATCGAAAGGGGGGGCCTCCGGGGAGACGACGACGACGACGGCCACGACGACGGCGGCAACGGCCTCGAAGATGACGACGGGGAGGGTTTAGGACGACGGTGAGGACGGCGACGCGGACGACGAAGAGGACGACGACTACGGTGACGAAGACGACGACGAAGACCACGACGAGAACACGACGACGACAACGACGATGACCATCACGACGACGACGGCGGCGTCGACGACCACGACGACGACGTCGACGACGACGGCGACGGCGACGACGAACACGTCGACGACGACGACGATGACCAAGACGGCGACGCCGACGATGACTACGACGAAGACGAAGCGAACCACGACGACGACGTCGATGAAGACGACGACGACCACGACGACCACACAACGACGACGACGGCGACCACGACGACGACGATCACGAGGACGACGTTGACGGCATAGACGACAAAGGCGTCGACGACGACGACGACCACGAAGTCGACGACGATGGCAACGACGACGCAGCCGGCGACGACGACGACGCCGACGACGACCCTGACGACGACGACGGTGTTGGCGACGAAGCCGGCGACGACGACGACGACGACGACGACGATGACGAAGCGGACGAGTCTGGCGGGCGGACCCCAGCGGCAGGTGGGGCGGGCAGACCCTGACGGGCGGGTCGCCCGGGCGGACCCGAAATGATGGGTCTAACGGACGGATCGACAAGATCGCGCCACGTGCTTTTCCCAGATTTCGTTCTCTCTGGGCCCGGGCGGTCCCGACAATCTCCCCGCTTCCGCCTCCTCTTCCTTTCTCCTCCTCCTCCTCCTCCGCCTCCTCCTCCTCCTCCTCCTCTCCTCCTCCCTGCTCTCCTCCTCCTCCGCCTCCTCCCCCTCCTCCTCCTCCTCCTCCTCCTCCTCCTCCTCCTCCTCCTCCTCCTCCGCCACCTGCTCCTCCTCCTCCTCCTCTCCTTCTCCCTGCTCTGCCCTCCTTCCTCCCGATGTCTCCCTCCCTCCTGGGGCGCCGGGGCCGTCCGGAGCCTGCCCCGGGGTGGGAAGCTGGCGCGGGCGCGCCTCTGGAGGAGGGGGTCACGCGCAGAGGGGGGTGGGGGGAGGGGGAGGGCTTCTTAGAAGCACCCCTGCTTCTTAGAAGGCGCGGGCCTTATCTATATGTGTAAGGCCGGCGCCTTCAAGAAGCAGCCCCCTTCTAAGCAGCCCTTCCCCCCTCCCCCCACCCCCTTATGCGCGCCGTCAAAAGAGGGGGTTCCGGGGCCGCCTCTCGGCGGATTCGGGGCCTCAGGAGGACGACTGGGTCGTCGTCGTCGTCGTCGTCGTCGTCGTCGTCGTCGTCGTCGTCGTCGTCGTCGTCATGATCGTCGTGGTCGTCGTGGTCGTCGTCGTCGTCGTCGTCGTCGTCGTCGTGGTCGTCGTCGTCGTAGTCGTCGTAGTCGTCGTCATGATCATCGTCGTCGTCGTGGTCGTCGTCGTGGTCGTCGTCGTCGTCGTCGTCGTCGCGTTGGTCGTCGTCGTCGCCGTCGCCGTTGTCGCCGTCGCCGTCGTCGTCGTTGTCGTGGTCGTCGTCGTCGTCGTCTTGGGCAGGGTCCAGGGGCTGCCTCGTGGCGGATTCGGGGTCTCGGGAGGACGACGGGGAGGCTTTGAGAAAGAGGGCGGAGGGGTGAATAGAAGGAGTGAAAGAAAGACACAGGCACAATTAATCGTGAGACCTTTCCACCTCTTTCTCAGGGTGGCCCGTGGATCCCCGTGTGCAGTGCTCTGCAAAGCTGCCCTCGCTGGAGGCCACCCGGGAGGTAGCCTTCACGCTTCAGGCCCGGGCGTGCGGTGACGTCGCCCCCCTCGGAGCACGAGGAACAACTTGTCGTCCCCTCCCAGAAACAGAGAAGATGTGGGAAGTGCAGGGGCAGACGAACACGGACTCCCTGGACCTGTGCATCTTCGCTTGGGTGTCCCCAGGCCCCACAGAAGTCTGCTGCGTGCAGCTCCCGTCCCGCCGCCGGGCACGCTCTCGGACGCGCGGCCGCTCCCGGTGCCCCGAGGCGCCGGAGAGGCTGGCTGCGTGCAGTCGGTTCGATCGCCCCCCCTTTTCACACCCCTCGTGGGGGGCAACGACAGGGGAGGGTAGGCATAAGGGGGGAATGCAGCAACCCCCAATCGCCCATTCATCGTGAATTGGCGGCCCGACAGCCCCCGCCCGCCCAGGAACGTGCGGACTCGCTATGGGGGGCCTGTCGCCGATCCATCGGCGTTGTATCGCCGATTCCAGGTCGATGTTCCCCCGTCCCTGTGCCAGTCCCCCCTATCGTTGCCCCTCAGTGGGGCGGGCATATCCATGTCACTTTCCCTTGCCCTCTCCCTTTCCCTTCCGTTTCCGTGCAGCATCGGTGCGCTGCGTCGCTGCCGGAGGCGGCACTGGCCGCACGTTTCGGGGTGTACTTTCGCCGATCCTTGGATCTGAGAACAGGTTGTTGTGGCCAAGGAGGCTACACGTGAGACGCATGCACGGGCAGCCGCCGTGTCTTGGAGGGTGTAGGGCTTTCGGTGGAGCAGATTCATGAAGGTGTGTGATTGTACTCCATCGCTGCCAGTTTGAACTCCCTGCCCCCAGGTCTGTTCCGATTCCATCGGTCCGATTCGATGTCGGCCCCGCCGGCCCGATTCGACTCGAGTCCGGTGCTCGGGCGATCCGCTGCGGCCCGATGCCTATCGGGCGCCGTGGTGCATCCCGGCGCCGCCGACTCGACTCGACTCGATTTCGACTCTGTGCCGGTGCGGCCCGATTCGATGCACGCTCGGATCCGATCCGATTTCCCGATTTGATGTTGATCGGCATCACCCAGAAGCACTGGCACTGTGTGCGTCGGCCCCGCATGGGGCGGCGCGCGCGCCGAGAAAGTATACAGTCGGCGCCCTGAAGAAGGAACCCTTTTCGTTGGGGAGGGGCTCCGCGTTCCTTGAGTGTTTCACAGCTTGCCGCAGGCTTTCCTTAGGTTTTCGACAGGATATCGAAGGTTCGCTTATGGAAAAAAGGGGCCTCGTTCCTTATTTAGGGTTCCTTAGGTCGACGCCCCGACCGTATGCTCGGCGGCGAGCTCTTTCTGGCCATGCCGCCCGGGTAGTGCTGCATGGCAGGAGGTCTGCAGCAGATTCTCGCCTCGGACGTGCGCCCTCCAAGGGGGGGCGCACACTTTGTGGGCCCCGGAAACGGCAGGGACGTTTTTTCACCGTTTCCCAAAAAATGTCCCTTCAAAATGGAAACGGCAAAAAAACGGCGACCGGAAACGGCAAAAGAACGGTTCCAGGATTGGAGCCGAAGCCGGAACCGGTAAAACAAACGGCGACGGAACCGGTAAAAAACGGCGTCGGAACCGGCAAAGAAACGGCGAAACGGAACCGGTAAAAAAACGGCCCTGTCGTTTCCAGGGCCCACTAGGGGCGCACAGTGCCAGTGCACCCTCCAGGCGGCCTCGGCCTGATGCTCAGGGCGGCGGTGGCCCTGCCCGCTGGCACGAGCGACGGCGCTGCGCCCGGGGAGCAGCGTGCGGCGGGCGACTCGCAGGCGCCGTTGACGCCCCCCTTCAGCCAGGCCTGCGGCGCGAACCTGACGATAGCCAGCTGCCTCCGGCAGTTCCGCCGCCGTGTCGGCGCAACTCTCCTCAGGAGCAAGGATACCCGTCGGTTGTTGACAGTGTGTTTATATATATGTGTATATATATGTATATATATATATATATATATATGTGTGGATCCTGGGATTCCAATACATGAAAGAGCGCGTTCTGTGGGCGCTTGGAGGGGGGGGGTGGGACCGCATCCCCCCCCTGGAATGGAGGGAAGGGGGGGGGGGTTCGACCTCCCCACCTCCCCTCTTCCTTGCTCCCGTGACGGAGGGGGGGGGGGTTCGAACTCCCCCCCTCCTCTCTCCCTCTCCTCGGACTGGAGCCGGCGTCGGCGGCGCGGCGGCTGGCGGCGGCGGCGGCGGCGGGGAGCGTCGACGAGGACGACGGCGACGACGATGACGGCGACGACGAAGACGCTCCGCCACCGTGCCTTGGTTTCGGGTTAGAGTCCTAATGGATACCTCCTGGGTTCTCGTCGGAGGGCTCTCGGGGGCCTCTGGAGGGCATTCGTGAAGCCTCCTGGGCGCCTCTTGGGCGTCTCTTGGGGCCTCTCTGAGGTGGTGGTGGTGGTGGTCTGTGGTGGCGGCGGTGGTGGTGGTGGTGGTGGTAGTGGTGGTGGTGGTAGTGGTGTAGTGGTTGGTGGTGGTGGTGATGGTGGTGGTGGTTATCGTGGTGGTTGTGGTAGCAGGCTGTGGTTGTGGTGGTGGTTGTGGCGGTGGTGGTGGGTTGTGGTGGTGGTGGTGATGTGGTGATTTTTGGTGGTGGTGGTGGTAGTTGTGGTGGTGTTGGGTTGTAGTGGTGGCAGTGGTGGCGGTGGTGGTGTGGTTGTTTGTCGTGCTGGTTGTGGCGGTGGTAGTGGTTGTGGTGGTGGCGGGTTGTGGTGGTGGTGGTGGTGGCGGTGGTGGTTGTTGTGGTGGTGGTGGTGGTGTGGTGGTTTGTTGTGGTGGTGGTGCGTTGTCGAGGGTGGTGGTGGTGGTGGTGGTTTGTGGTGGTTTGTGGTGGTGGTGGTGGTTGTGTGGTGGTTTGTGGTGGTGGTGGTGGTCGTGGCGATGATGGTGGTGGCTGTGGTGTGGTGGTTTGTGGTGGTGGTGATGGTGGTAGTGGTGGTGGTAGTGTCGGGTTGTGGAGGTGCAGCTGGTGGTGGTATCGACGTGGTGGTGGTGTTGTGGTGGTTTGTGGTGGTGGTGGTGGCGGTGGTAGGTTGTTCTGGTGATGAGGTGGTGGTTGTGGCGGTGGTGGTGGTGGTGGCGGTTGTGTGGTGGTTTGCGGTGGTGGTGGTGGTGGTGGTGGTTGTGTGGTGGTTTGTGGTGGTGGCTGTGGTGTGGTGGTTTGTGGTGGTGGTGGTGGTGGGTTGTGCTGGTGGTGGTGGTGGTGGTTGTGGCGGTCGTTTTGGTGGTGGTGGTGTGGTGGATTGTGGTGGTGGTGGCGGTAGTGGTGGTGGTTGCTGTGGTGGTGGTGGGTTGTTGTGGTTGTGGGGGTGGTGGTGGTGGTTGTGGCTGTGGTGGTGGTTGTTGTGTGGTGGTTTGTGGTGGTGGTGGTGGGTTGAGGTGCTGGTGGTTGTGGTAGTGGTGGTTGCGGTGGTGGTGGTGGTGGCTTGGTGGTTTGTCGTGTTGGTGGTGGTGGGGTGGGCTGTGGTGTTGTTGGTGGTGGTGGTGGTGCTGGTGGGTGGTGGGTGGTGGTGGTGGTGGTGGTGGTTGTGGTGGTGGTGGTTGCTGTGTGGTGGTTTGTGGTGGTGGTGGTGGTGGTGGTGGTGGGTTTGGGTGGCGGTGGTGCTGGTGGCGGTGGTGGTGATGGTAGTGGTGTTGGTGTGGTGGTTTGTGGTGGTGGTTGTTGTGGTGGTTGTGGAGGGTTGTGGTGGTGGTGGCGGCGTTTTGTTGTTGTTGTTGTTGTTGTTGTTGTTGTTGTTGTTGTTGTTGTTGGTGGTGTAGTGGTTTGTGGTGATGGTGGTTTTTGTCGTGGCGGAGGGTTCTGGTGGTTGTGGTGGTGTGGTGGGTGTGGTGGGTGTAGTGGTGGTGTGGTGGTTTGTGGTGGTGGTGGTGGTGGTGTGGCCTTCCGGGTCTTCCCGCCACCGTGTTGTGGCCGTGGGTCAAAGTTCAAATGGATGCCTCTTGAGGTCTCGTCAGAGGGGTCTCGTGGGCGTCTAAGGAGCATTTGTGAAGCCTCCTGGACCTCCCTAAGGGCCTCTCGGTGGCTTTTACGAGGCGAGGGCTCGATGTGGCGCTGTGCGTTTCCCCTCTGCGGCCTCCTGGCCCTCTCTGGTCATCGTTGCTGCATCCTCGCCGTCGGCGCTGCTGGCTGCTGACCGCCGCCAGCGCCGGCGCTGGCGCCGGCGCCGGGGGGTGGGGGTTTTGGACCCCCAGATCCCCTCCCCTCCCTGTGCCCTCTTTGGTCATCGTTGCTGTGTCCCCGCCGACGGCGCTGCTGGCCGCCGCCAGCGCTGGCGCCGGCGCCAGCGACAGCGCCCTGGTGGGTGGGGGTTTGGGGGTGGCGGGGCTAGGGGGGAGGGGAGTCCCCCTGGTTCTGATCGACGGCGCCGAGTATTGGGGGCCCGGGGCTCCCCCCCGGTTCGAAACGCGCCGCCGAATGTTCCCAAGGCAAGCGCCCGTGAAACGCGCTCTCTCCAGTATATTTGAAGCGCCTTCCTGTGATTTCCCCTTCCTTCCTCTTTGGGTGGCGGGCGGACGCCCAGTCTACTTCCAACGTCTTCCTCCTTCTTGTTTCTACCCACTTCTTCCGACCGACGGATAGGGGTGGATAGGCTCAGGGGGTGATGCATCGACCTCAATCGCCGATGGATCGCCGAGAGGGGTCTGATGTCCCCACCCCGCACAGGAGCGTGCGGATTTGCCGTCGAGGGCCCATCGCCGATATACCGGCGATTCCCCAGGTCGATGTCCCCCCCCCTTGCCTGAGCCAGTCAGACCCCTCCAATCCGTAGACCCTCAGTCGAAGAACGAAAAACGGCATAAACATGATTTCTCGCAGCTCCGCGTGGGCCTCCGAGAAGTCATGTCTACGGTAGGTTCATGCGGCGATGGCGCGCCGGCGACGCTGGCGAAGGCGTTCAATGCCTGAAGTCTGATGCGGACGCACCGAGGGACGCGGTAACGCCCTGGACCCGACGGAATACAGCCTTGAACGATATCGGGACCGCGATCGGTTCAAGGCTGAGCGATCGACGCGGTGTCAACAATTTTTGCACGCGCTCCTTCTTTTCCTCCTCCTCCTCCGCCGCCTCCTCCTCCTCCTCCTCCTCCTCCTTCTCCTCCTCTACCTCCTCCCTCCTCCTCCTCCTCTCCTCCTCCTCCTCTACCCTCCCTCCTCCTCCTCCTCCTCCTCCCCTCCTCCTTCCTCCCCTCCCCTTCTCCTCCTCCTTCTCCTCCTTCCTCTCCCCCCTCCCTCTTCCCTCCTCCTCCTCCCTCCTCCTCCTCCTCCTCCTCCTCCTCTACTCCTCCTCCTCCTCCTCCTCCTCCTCCTCCTCCTCCTCCTCCTCCTCCTCCTCCGCCTCCTCCTCCTCCCTCCTCCTCCTCCCCTTCCCCTCCACCTCCCTCCTCCTCCTCCTCCTTCTCTTCCCCCTCCCTCTCTTCCTCCTCCTCCTCCTCCTCCTCCTCCTCCTCCTCCTCTACCTCCTCCTCTTCCTCCTCCTCTCCTCCTCCTCCTCCTCTACCTCCTCCTCCTCCTCCTCCTCCTCCTCCTCTCCTCCTCCTCCTCCTCCCCTTTCCCCTCCACCTTCTCCTCCTCCTCCTCCTTCTCTTCCCCCTCCCTCTCTTCCTCCTCCTCCTCCTCCTCCTCCTCCTCCTCCTCTACCTCCTCCTCCTCCTCCTCCTCCTCCTCCTCCTCCTCCTCCTCCTCCTCTACCTCCTCCTCCTCCACGGGGTCCTGCAGAAGCAGGCCTGCAGGTGCAGCCGCTGCGGGGTGAAGGTCGACCTCTACGCCGCCAAGGGGGGCAGCTCCAAGGACGGCAAGGCGGGCAAGGTCCCCGTCGTCGGGAAGGGGCCCAGCGACTCTCTCTCGGCGGAGGACAAGGCCATCTCGACCCTGGAGTCTGCGCTCAGCTGCACGGAGGATCCCGCCCTCCGCAGGATGATTCAGTCGCAGATCGACGACCTCAGGCACAAGCGGGCTCGGCAGTCTGCTGTCCCTCCAGAGGACGCACTACGACTGGCAGACGGCGCCGTCCGCGACGCATCCGTCAAGCACGACCAGGCCATGGCGCGACTTCTCAAGTGTCGAGATGCTTTGGAGGAAGCTCAAGAGAAGGAGCGACAGGCCGCACTTGTCCTCGCCCAAGCCGAGGACTCGAAGAAACTCGCCGCGCAGGCCCTCGCCGCCAAGCTGGGCGTCACGGTCCAGGAAGGTGAAGGCTGCGCCGAGAGCAAGACTTTTTTCCAGATTACATGGGACGAGGATTTCTTTCGCAATCTTGACAGCATGGAGGCCGAGCAGTCTGAAGTTCAGGAGCTGCGGAAGCTGGAGTCCGATCTCAAAGCAGTGAAGGACCAGCTGGCCACCAAGAACACGCAGGTGGGTGACTGGTTGCAGCGGGCCAAGGAGCTCCAGAGCCAGCTCACCGACAGGATGGCCAAGAAGCGCAAGGGCGACGGTGGCTCCTCAGCAGTCGGGGCAGCAGGTGGTGGTGCGCAGGCGGCTGCAGCTGCTAGCGCCCCACCCACCGCCGCCGCGGCAGCGGGCGCGGCCGCAGGCAGCGCGGCGGCGGCCGCCCCCCCAGCCGCCGCCCCCGCCGCGGCCGACCCCGAGGCAGCCAGAGCCGCTCGGGAGGCGCGCGAGGCCCGCATCCAGCAGGCCGCGGCCAAGATCAGCGCTTCCAAGGCTGCCGCCATGCAGGCATCCGAAGCGGCCAAGAAGGAGGCGGCTGGCGGCGGCGCTGGGGCGGCGGCCGCTGGCAGCAGCAAGTGACGAACGGGCAGGAGCGGCGGCGCGGGTGTGCAGGCAGCCGCGTCGAAGA